TTGTGTTTTGTGCCAGATATTGGTTATTTGGGAATTTAAGGAGGCAAGCTTGCCAAATCAAGCACTGACAGAAACAGCATTTCTCACTTTATTTAAATTTCCTTAATGAAATAACATAAAGCCTTTCAGCAGCTTACTAGTCTTGATATATTTAATAAGTTAACTCCCCAAATTATTTTTTCCAATACAAAAATATGAAGCCCAAAGAACAGAAGTACATGATAAACTGGGCTAGGACCATGAGAAGCACAGGTGAAAATGGACTTCAATTACTTTCTCTCTACAGGTCAGAAAATCCATTTTCCTTGTTTAAAAAAAAAAAAAATCTATTCTAGTTCTCACCCCAAACTAAGAACAGACAGTTAGAGGTAAATACTATCAAGCATTTAAGCCCAAAATAAGAGTTTTGCTTGCTAGTCATTATTCCAAAACTACTCCATGTGGTCACAGTGATCTCTTGTGCTCACACTCACACATAACATCAGTATCAGACTTGTCTTTTCCCAGAAAAGAATCTGACAAGAAGGGAAAATACCCTGTACAGTCCTTTCTGATAGACATACACAAGGAACTGTTTCCAGAGGGGGAAGGTTTCAAGAACAGCAGTGAAGGTAGACAAAGTATCAGGATGAGGAAGAAACACATGCAGACGAGATTACATTTTCATTTGTAGATTCACTTTCTATGGCATGGTTATAGCCGAGAATGCGATTAGCCTACTGCAAAATTCTACTCCATAATTTGGAGCAATTCACTGAGACCTTGCATACAGACCACTTTCCCCATATAAGGCAGCAATGCTTTTGCAATAACGAGGCAGGTAAACCACACTGAACCACAGATGATTTCTTTCAAATCGTAACCAGGCACATTTTTGAACGTCACCAAAACATCTGTGGGATGAACTTAACAAGGGTTCATATAAAAGTGTGTACATGTGTCTGTAAATGCAAAAGACAGCCCTCCTAGTCCATCCATTAGAATACAAGAAAATTAGGGGGTTCACTTCTGCCAGACTCCTGTCTGGACAAGAATTGGGGTGTTAAATACAAGGTGGATTCTAGAAGTTACAGTACGGTAGCTGAAAACAGCCAGATCTTTCTCCATCATTGCATTATTTTATGCAGCAAACCTTTGACTCCATTTTCCTTATTCTAGATGAAATTTGTTTCCTGTTAAATTTATGTTTCAAATACTACTACTTAGTGCCTTCCTGAATCTCTGCCTTTGCTGAGGCTAACCTATATTAAACATGCATAAAGTTTTAGCACAATTTGTCCCCAACACACTTGTCTTGAAATTATTTTGGGATGAGATACTTGGGAATGTGCAAGTTTTAAGGTGGAAAGGCAGAGAAGAGTTGTGCTTCTGCACATTGTATATCAGTCTGTGACCATAGATAACTGGTTTCTTATGACATGCTGTTCCCACGGCATGTCAAAACACATCTGATCAATGTGTCCAATATCTCTGCAGAAAAGCACTCACACTCAGTAACATAGTATGGAAACATTAAAATGGAAGTATGATTTTTCCCCATGAACAGTGTCTGTGCTAAATGTTGTCCTAATTTATGAACTGACAAGTTTCTTTGTGGAATACATTGCCGAAGTAATTTACTTATGTCAAAATTGATACAGGATTTAGTTGCATGCTATCTATTGTTTCTGTAGTTTCCACACCCTCCACTAGGATATTTTTCCATATTGAACTAATTTGCAAGTTGCAGCAGCAGCACAACTTTTTCCAGTTGCACTATGCAATTCACCTCCCACCTAAGAAGTTGCATGGCAGACATCAGTCTTGACCAATTCTTTAAAAGCACTTACAAGATTTCAACAACATTGGTTGCTCACACACTATTCAATACCTTGCTTTTGACTTCAGTAACAAAACACAAGTTTTAATTTCTCATGACTTAAGATAAAGCAGACATTAAAAACTCTACGTTGGTGTGTCACTGAACTGCTGCCCTATCTGGAAATCAGGAGCTCAGAAACTCCTTTTCACAGCTATAATCAAGTTTTTGAATAGTAATAAATTTATCATGCATTTATTAGCTATGCAGCTGCATATTTAGCAAGACAATATCCTGGTAAAATGAAACCACAGTAACACATTCAACACCTGTATTTGTCTTGAGACACTAAACAAGAATGCTAATTTTTTGACTCAAGAGATTGTCTTCATTAAATAAAGTGCAAATTAGCCAGAATCTACTATTAAGTTGATAAATCAAATTGTGCCCATTCAAACTTAGAAATAAAAGGCTTTAATTAAAAAGGAGTTATTGTTTAGTACCATAAATAGGGAGGAAGATTATCTGATCCCTTTTTTAAATAACCTGCTTTGCTTTTCAACTCCAGAGAAATTTTAGACACACTGTGGTATCTCTCTTACCTTCCTGACTGAAAGCTCTTCCACCTGCTATATTACATAGTGAATTATGTCCGCACGTACTCCTTATAAGCAACACTGGTATGGACATATCTGATCAAAAGCTTTGTTGTTATGCCCAAAGGACACCAGGTGGTGGTGGAAGACTCCTTAGTAGAATATTTGCATTCCTTATGTTGCAGCATTCATGTTGTCTTTCTCTTCAGGCTACCTTCTCTCTTTCAAAATCTGCACTGCTAATATATTTGAGACAAAGATAGCAATACTGGGTCCTCTGAAAGCCTAGCTAGCATAATACCCTGTTTCTGAGACTACCCAAAAGCAGACATCACCAGCAAGAAGGTTAAGAGCAAACCAAACATACACAAACACTTTTTTCAAAGCAGCTTCACAGATGTCAGCCAGCAGGTAACAGTGTCACGTTATCTGGCTCATTCCACCCCACTCCATTTCCCAACGTAGCCCTAGAAGGCTTTAATAAGCTGTACCAGGCTACCAATTTACAAAAACAGAGCCTGGTACAAGTCTCCTCACTCTACCAGCTTAAAACTCAGTACTGTGTTATGAACATTTACATTTGTCTCACTAGTAAAAGTTTTTAGAAACATTCACTTAGAAGTCCACATATTCACAAGCTACAAAAAAGTATTTAGCACTTTAAGTGTAACAAGCTATTTACTTTTATCCTTTTTTCTAGCTTTCATGCTAAATTCATCGTCTCCACACTTCCTGTCCTGTTCAGGCAGTCATACAGTTTAGAAACAAAGGCTACTCCCACTCGTAACACTGACATTCCTATATAATATACCAAAATAAATAAAAAAACCTGACAAGCCTCTGGGTAGTAGTGATTGAAGAGTTTAACTGTAAAGGCATAAGGGCATCATAATTCAGGGATTCAGAGGGCAAGCTATGCAAGATTCCTTAGGTAACCAAGAATGACCCATAATTCACTAGCAGCCATAGGGAATTCGACTATCTACACAGCTTTGAGAGCAAGAAATCAAGTCAACAGTACATGAACTCATTTCTTCAGCCTTCAAAGCAAACAAATTCCATCCACAAGATAATTTCATGATTTCTGGCAGTGAATGTTTGATACATATATGAACAAAATAGTTGGGCAAACAGTAAATATCAGCAGTTGACATTTTTTCCTTCTGTAAAAAAATAATTATCTGTTTAGATACTAGTTTCATTTTCTTATGAGATAAATGTTATGAATATTTTTTTAAAGAATTCCCAATGTTTTTACTGTGATACACCACACATCTTTGCAGGCACAGAGTACCTTTTCATGGTCTGTTACAACCACCTGACACAGCAGTGTCATTGGTATTTGTGCTAAAGTTCAGTTGCATTTGGCACCTCCAGAGCAATAACACATATTCCTTGGAATAATAACTGAGAGAGAAGGAAAATAAACCCCACACACTGCTGTTTGTAACTCTGCTTGCAAGGGACACCAGTCCCAAGAGATGCTGCTCTCAGAAGAATGCTGGGTAAAAACCACAGATTTCTATACTAACTCTATAGGTCATAACTGCAGTTCAAACTTTAAAAAAAATAAACCAAAGCATTTGCTAGGAGCTCACAATTTTAACAGTTCATCTGTTTTCTGCATTCTATTTCTACTGCATTTCTTATAAAGCCTTCTTGTTACAAGTAGCTTCAAGACAAAAACAAAATAAAAATCTCATCCAACAAAGCTCTGATAATAGCAGGCCTGCTGATTTTATGGCTAAAACGAAAAAGCTTTATTCATATTGCAAAGCAGTCAGACCAAACAGGGTAAGTACCACTGTGCTAGGCTCACACAAGAGAAGTCTCTGCCCTAAAAAGCTGACAAGTCTAAATAATTTTAAGTAATGTTTCTAGAAGTCTGGGGCACAGCATCCCACAGACCGAAAGAACTAGAGATAGTGCAGAAGAAAACAAGGGAGGGGTAAAGTCAAGTGAATCCACTGTTACGCACAGGCTAAGCAGTGAGAGTATCCACCTGGGAGGCAGTTTTCAGTGAACACCGATTTAAAGCAACCTCAAGATTCCAAACATATTTTTTGTGAAATATTGTGCTGAAACTCTTTAAAAGCAAATAGGATTCAGAAATTCATCCTACACTATTAAAAATACTATGAAAAATGGTAATGGTTTATGTGAAGACTTTCTCTACTGCATGTCTCTACATATTAAGGTGTTTATAAATACAGCTTTCCTCACAGGGTGATTAATCAAGCACTTCCTTCTCTGGAAGAGTATCTAGCTGAAACATGGGTTTCAGATCAAGACAGAAAAATGAACTATTTAATAGATATCTGGAGAAAGATAACTGCTATGTTAGTGAAGCTAAGTAGACTGAGTCTAATTCCAATTATTAAGAGGATGAAAATGCTGAAAGGGATGCTTGCCCTTACCCTCTTGAGTGTGAGAAAAGTAACCATCAAATTGAAGTTAATCTAGAAAGTGCTAAATCATGGGGGCGAGAAAAAGCACGAGGACATGAAAGCAAGCATGTATGTAACCATGAGTGCACAACATGCATATTCTTGTACACTGATTGCCATATATCCGTAATAACTGTCTGAAAAGCTATAATGACTAACCTCCACATTTTAGTGAAACTGTGCATCAGGCTCACACAGCAAGGCAGAGCTGGAGGTTTGAGTCCATCCATTTGAAGGAGGAGGGCAGGAACACCATACAGAACCAGGTATTTCACATAAAAAAATAGTACTTGAGCTAAAGCCAGGCCACCTAAAAGGAAAAAAAAAAAATTAATCATACTTTAAACAAGTCCTGAAATACTTTTAAAACCTGTTAATACTGATTACTTCCAAACTGCCATTATTCAAAGAATTAAAACAAGCACTATCAGTTGATGATACTATACATACTTTTGCCACAGCTCTAGGACACAAGCACATGCAATGACAACTTTAGGCACACACACACAAAATAGTACCATCATTCAGATATGAAAGCATCTGTAGTTCCACTTTCAAAAAAAAAAAAATCTTTGGACTGTGGGTATTGACTGCTGTGAAAAACAAATACTGACTTATGTTGAGCAAGAAACCAGAACACCCAAAACAACCACGTTTCATCACTGGTTCCTCCAGACAGGTATAAACAACGGTTTTCTCTGCAACTTATACTGACAGCTCCACAAACACTTCATGTGCTGTCATGTTTTTTTGTATCCCTCAAAATATCCCCTACAAAATCCCACCTGCTGCAGACAAGGCCTGGAAGACTGGAACTCCACTTGGCATAATGCTCAAGGCATATTTCAGTTTTTAAACCCACAGGACAAAGGCCTCCTTAAGGGGCACTTTAGCTGCCTGAGCTCCAGAAGAGAAATTTTGGCTGTGTTTGCTCACAGCTTAATCCCAAAGTATGGCATAAAATACAGCATCTTGCCCAGGTGAGAGATGAAAATCATACTGGCTATTCTTAGAGTTATTACTCAAATTACTGTGAGCAACAATATTAAAATGCATAAAGCAAGATGATTCATATCAATATTCTAAATCTTCTCTGCTGAAAAAAAACACTATTTGACCAATAACCATAAGAAGAAAATTCAGTAAAAAGCAGAGGCTAACACCTTCACAGAAACTGTTGAGAATTCACTCTTAAAAGTTCCACTGACTTCAGTGAACTTTTCCACCTGACAGTTGACAGAAGTAAAATCTAATCTCAAAGGAGGGAAAAAAATTGTCATTTGGAAGAGTAAAAAAAAAAAATTATAAAATGCAATTGTTACATCTCCTTCCTTTCCAGTGTTTTGCTTTCCCTCAATGATATTAACTATGTTGTGATTTGACTGGAGTACTTTAGATATTTAATGGAATTTTAAAACTTTCCAGCAGACTTCCCTTGGAGACAAAGTTTTTGATCTGACTCCAGCAGTTCATATCCATGAACATCTAAATCTGCCTTTCTCCCCCCAAAAAAAAACATTCCTTTTGCATTCTGCTGACTAATGAGTATACTATGGATGACAACCAAAAGTTAAACAATAAAAATTCATCTAATATATAACAGCCTAGGGTGAAATTCTGGCATTAATAATGTAAATTGCAGAACTCCTGCTGGCCTAAACATGGCCAGCATTTTGCTGCTACAATCCAACATTTTTAGTTTTAGTATCATGATCCATGTGCATGCTATAAGAAATAGTTGTGTCATACAAGATAAAAATTGATGTTAGAACAATATACCTAGACATGAAGCTTATGGTATTTTCCTTCAGGGAAACAGTCATCTAGTATTCAATAATATTCTCCCCAGAGGAAAACAAACAATCAGAAGCACAATTTGGATACTAGCCAATTAGCTACACATTAGATTACCACTAAATCATCTATACAGCCAACTTTCTGCTTTAATTCCCATCTCATTCAGTTTCTCATTTCTTATCTGACAGATTTCATTGGCAAGCTGAATGCTGACACCCACACAAACCGATTATGAAGATCACAGCTGTCTGTACACTGCTGTCAAAATCCTGTGGCTGTGCATGATGGAAAGAGATTTAGAGACAGACTACCGCTCTCTTGACACCTGAAAATCAATACATTTGTTCTTAAATACAGTGATGAAATATTCCAGATTCTCAGATACAAAGTTATAATACACAAGTTTCAGGGAAAAAAAGCATTTTCACCATCACTAAAAACATACATTTAAGTTGCATTTCTGTTAACTAGCCAATAGCTCTATAGCAACAGTATCTTAAATAAATGTAGATGTCATATCACCAGTTACCTGACACACACTAGCTACTCCACATGTGGCAATTTTAAGACTCACAGCACATTAGCAATGTGGAGGTCCCTACCAAAATATGTAGATTAAGTTCTCACCAGCCTTCAACTCACCCCAGCTGTGTGAGAGTTCTGGCAACACATGGAAAACTCAGGGCAAGATTTACTGCCACACAACAGCTGGGCTGCATTGGCAACAAGCACAAGCTTTAAACCTTGAATACCTGAGACACTCCAGCTGCTTTGCATTTGCTCCATTATAGCACAAAGCAGACAGAAGTACACTGCTTCACTGGATTTAAATACATGAAATAAAGAAATTTAAGATCAATGCTAAATTTCTCAACTTTAACAATGTCACATTTAATGTTCTCTAGTGTTTGATTTAAAGTTTAAATAGAACTCACACACAAGCATTAGCTTAAATTGGAAACAAGCTCTATTAAATGTATAAAGACACACATAAGGGAGAAAGTATTGCAAAAATGCTATCTTTTCCCCATAATAAATTAATTCAAAGGATTCAGAGACAAGGTTAATTTTTTTTAACACTGAAATGTGTTAAGGGATAAAAAAATACGAAGTACCCAATCTTAAACCCATGTACTTGAGCAGTTAAGCTGTTTGAAGTCCCAGATTAAGTTAACTGACTTTTCTAGAAATTTGTATTTTCGATTTATCATCTTATAATCCTTAAAACATTTTAAGTTTTCCCATGCTTTAAAAATGCATTTACAGACCTTAAACTATTTACCTTCCTTAAATTTACTGCAAAACTGCATTTTGTAAGTTTCATAGAGCTTTGTTTCAAAAATAATTGAAATTTAGAATATTCACAGGATTTTTTTGTTTTGTTTTCTTTTCTTTTCCACATTCTCAAAGTCTGCCTGGTATTTTTTGACAGAAGCTACTAAACAGAACATTTTTATAAGTAAGCGACAAAAGATTTGGATCCAGGTATTGGAAACCACACAGCATTTTTCTGTCCATAAACCATCACCAAAACTCACGGTCAAAAACTGTAACTTGCATGCAATTTTATTACGAGCACAACAGCACAAATTTACCCCTCCTGCAGCTACACGGACCCTATGTCATTAATAATCGTAGATGCTTGTTTCTGTCAAGTACCAGGGCAGGTTCAACTCGAAAATACATATCAGAGATAAATATGCAGTCATATTTCAAAAGGGTTATTGACACATGCTACAAGTCTAATAGGAAACAGACATTTAAAAAGGCTCAGAATTTGGGAACATATCATAAGGTTCATCAGTCTTCAGAGGTTCATTTAACCTCTCATTTTCTACATGCCTCCTCCTATGGAGAAAAAATTGAAAATTATGCAGGGATTCCTTAAAATTATAATCTTCAAGAATAAGGCTCTGCATTGGAGCAGACTGGCATTATTGCTGAGATACATCTGTAGCCTACAATCATAAAATGCATCAGGAGTTTTCAGCTCCATTAAATCAATCCATAAGAGCACAACTATTGAAAAGCTTGATACACTGGGCTACAGCATTTTCTTCACAGCGGGACACTCCTGCTGACAGAAGCCCCAAGACTGGATCTACCATGACCTTAGTTTGGTATTGACCACAGCAGGAGGCTACATCTCACACTGGGAGAAGCTTTCATATGAACATACAGACTACCTCAGCGCCAATTCAACTTGGCACAGGCTGCCAGGTAAGCAGAGCTCTGCAGTCATTGCCAGCAATCCCACATACATCGTGCTGTGATGTCCTGTCCCCTGCTCAGGGCTAACCGTCCACTTGTACCTGCTATGATGACCTGAATTAATGCAAAACTGACAACTCAATTCTGTTATTCCTGTCTCTAGCCAATGACAAAGAACATCATGCAAGAAACAGGAAGCACACTGATTTCATTACTTCAACAGAAAACAATGCAATTAAGTTCATTGCTCAGCAGTGTTTTTCCCCTTTGAAAGAGGTGCTGACTCACAAAATCAAAAAGAATTATGAAAGGAAAAAAAAAAAAGTACTACAGGGACTCATGCAGCCCAACTTCATATCCCAGCCTTCCAGTAGAAGCACACAAGAAGCAAGAAAAATCCTAAAACATACAGAGCAGTGCAGGAAAGTACATACCACAATGTTTGCCCAGGAGGCTAAGTGCTTCTTTTTAGACAGTTGAATAGACATAAAAATCCCAAAGTGAGTTACTTCAGCAAGATTAAACAGAGCTGCCAAGGGACTCTTGGTCAAGGCATACAGAGGTCTTCCAGATTAAAGAAAATGAGAGGGTTTTTTCATGGATACACATGCCTTAAAGCCACCTACCTTGAATACTCCTAAAACTTCTACAAGTAAGCATTATGTTCACCAGTAAATACTTGCAGGAAAGAATTCTAAATAAATCAACAGTTACACATTCTGCTGGTTTGGCTGGGATACAGTTAATTTTCTTCATAGTAGCTAGTGTGGGGCCATGTTGTGGATTTGTGCTGGAAACAGTGCTGGTCATTCAGGGATGTTTTAGTTATTGCTGAGCCGTGCTGACACAGAGTGAAGCCCTTGTCTGCTTCTCACAGCACCTCCACCAGAGAGTAGACTGAGGGAGCACAAGAATCTGGGAAAGGACAGAGCTGGGGCAGCTGACCCCAGCTGAGCAAAGGGGTATCCCACACAGTATGGCATCATGCTCAGCATATAGAGCTGGGTGATGCGGAAGGGAGGGGGGGGAATGTTTGGAGTTAACGTTGTTCCATCTTCCCAGGTAATGGTTAATGCATGATGGAGCCCTGCTGTCCGGAGATGGTCAAACACCTGCCTGACCATGGGAAGTGGGAAGTCCTTGTCTTCCTTACTGCATGAGCAGCTTTTGCTTCACTTAAACTGTCTTTATCTCAACCCAGGACTTTTCTCACTTTTACCCTTTTGATTCTTCCCCATCCCACTGGAGGAGTGAATGAGCAGCTGAGTGGGGCTCAGTCACTGGCTGGGGTTAAGCCACAAC